ACCACTGCACGGTGGCGTAACGCAGAATCCGCTTTTTTCCTCAATCTAAAAATCACAGAGGGGAAATATGTGCCTGGACACCCCTGTAAGTATATAATTTGATGTCCTAAGGCGTCCAAAGGTACTCCTTTGAGATGTGTAATTTTTTCTGCCCACCGGTCCGTCAGGGGTTACAGTTTATACAGGGGCTGAGGCTGTGCAGCCTATAGAGACTGCAACACATAGAGTTGAGGTTTCTGTTGCTAAGATTTGCTGGCGCGCATGATTACAATCACGTTACATAATTTGCGGCATAAATCGATGGAGCCATTTTCACGATAGCTTATGTACTGAGAAGTTTTGACAAAAATGTTTCTGTAAAGTTTTAGTATATACCTAACGTTCTCATAAGGAAAACACTTGTTTTCATGCAATTCCAATAACGTGCAACAAGTAGGCCCTATGCATCCAATTAAGAATAAGTGTGTTTTATGAAATAAGACCCGTCGCAGAAATTTTAGCCCGTGCTCTTAGTTCAGCTAAGCTCCAGGCCAGTACAAGGTCTGGCAATCAGCAATGTGCATCGGTGGAGGGAATTGAATGCCGGTTGGCTCAGTATTGATTACATCGGTGCTGTGTGAAACGGGTGGGCTTTGAGGAACATTTTAATCAAGGAAAATTTGCCTTGGATCATTTTATGACGTATAAGGCCTGTAAGATCTGTAGGTACTGTAAGCAAGCTCTGCAAGTACTGCGAATACTGCATGCCTATGAACAGGAACGCTACAAAGACAAAGGAGTTTGTTTTTTTCGAGTCTGCTTCGGAGATGCCACCGAATTTGTAAACAAGCTTTTAGAAGTTTCGGTAGAAAGAGACCTGGAATCATATCTGTCCGTAAAAGTACGATCTTGCTTATAGCAAGCTAGCCGCAATTTTATCTCAGCATGCGTCTTCACAGACATGTTTTTAAAACTCCTTGGAGTAGTTTTGGCCGAAAAGCGCTGATGAAAGGTATGCGGTAAGAAAATAAGCGCTGAGAAGTTTTTAAAAAGTTGTAAATGTCTTTCAGCGTATTTCTGAGTGAAAACGGCCTATAACTGAATGTTGTCCTGATAAACATGGCTGGGCCACGTTAATACAAACGCGGCACGCGTCGCGGCGGTCTTCTCCCTGTGTAAGGCACGCACCGCAACGGCGCGGCGGTCTTCTCCCTGTGTAAGGCACCCACTGCAACGGCACGGCAACGCGGAAGATTGGAACACCTGAATCACACAGGAGCGCGTCATCTGGCACGGAGGCACCTTATATTCGCGCTTGTCGGATGGGTCGCAAATTTTACACACATCCATTTGAGAGTGTGATACATTTTCCAATGGTTTACGCCTTCGTTATGCGAAAAAACATGTGTTGCTCCGCTGTATCATATAACTACATCACCCTTTTCACACAACCCGGTGAACCTATCATCACGTTTAGTGACGATATGCACACAGCGCCAAGGCTCAGCCCACGAAGCGCCATTTTTACCTTTCTTGTAGCGTAGACTTGTGCTCATGATCCCATATCTCCATGACCTAGCATGGTCTGAAGTTGAAACTTTTTAGGACAGGTATTGGGTCGTCCCAAATGAAACAAGCACCGGCTGCATCTGAGTCTGCTAAACCATTTGCGAGGCGCCTAGGGCATTGTGCAACCTCCTGCCTTACATGCGATCAACTAAACCTCGTTCAAGTCCTTGGGAAAACGATAAATGAAGATAAATGAGAACTATTACCAAGTGGTAAAGACGCAGGAAGCGGCAGATATGGCATTGTTTGCATGGTTACACATTCCGCAACCTGTATGCGGGCTACACAACTGTTACGTACCTACGCTCAGAGGTCTGGGCAGACATGAAGCTTACCAAACAAAGCGGTTGTGGCGAATGATGGCCCACAAAAACACGTGTTGACCACCGAGCATTGCTTGTTTGTGTGTGAAGCCTTACAAGCGTGGGTGTCGGTGCTGCATGTGTTTGTTGATGGACGCCTCGGTCGAGATCCACTGCAGAAGTGGAGGTGCTGAAAAATTGCCGTGCGTTATTGATCATGCTGGCTTTTCACTAGTGATTTGTCAGTCGCGTCCTACTTTCGTGTACAGCGCAACGATCGTCACCCCCACTGTCGGCCAGCGGAAGTGCTTGGCAGGACCAGAATTCTTTCTGCTCCGTCTATGCCGGCAACAAGCCCAACGCCATGGCCTAACCGTCACAGCATGGTGAAATATGCGGACTCAACTGAGCTTAGCGTTGCGACACCCCGGTGTTCGTGATAGGCTGTCCGATAGGTGTTGCTGGGTTTGGCAGGATTTTAGCTGCCTGGTGAATCAATCAGTAGTGAAAGATTCAGCTATTTCCCACTGCCCGGAAATATAACTCGGAGGTTAGACCAACACTTATCTTGAGTGTTGATCTAGATGAATGCTAGTCTTGAGTTGCGCAGAAACAGTGATGCTGCTCGCCACAGCCAATCTTGGTTTTGATGCTAATGTGCAGATAAGATGCAATAGGCCCGCGGGGATGTGGCATCGCCAATGGCTGGACGAAGTGCGTGGAAATCACGCTACACCTGCAGGGTGACTGATTGTTCTAGGCATCGCGACTCCTGCAGTACCTAGCTGGGGTGCTCCGATTCAAGCACAGACTTAGCCATGTCCTGGCGCGGCTCTTGGCAATGCTTACAATCTCACCAACTGTACTGCCAGGTTTGTTTCTGAATCCATTACACGTAATATACCATTGATCTCTTTAGCGTGCCATAGATGTGGCTGCTGGTTGAAAAACCTCCAGTTAATCCGTACTCCATCGGATGGAGACGGCGTGGTGGACACCTTGCTGTTGGTCCTGTGAGAACGCTGTGGTTAACCCTGCCGATTTGTGAGGTTGATGACAATTTAGGTTGAGTTGTCTTATTTTCGTCGCGTGTTTTCTGATTTTATGATATTTCGCCACTGCGTTGCTTTACCTTGTTGGTGGTTATGGTGATGAACATGGTGATGGTGATGATGGTGATGCCAGTTATTATTGTATCGTTATCAAGATTACTGTCATGATGATGGCGATGGTGACGATAGTCATCATCATCATGATGCTGATGATGGTGATAACGATGGTGACGATGGTACATATGAGGATGCTGATACTGATGCTGGTGCTGGTGGTGGTAGTAATAATGGCGATTAGGCTTAAGCATGGTTTGTTGCTGCACTCGGCAGCGTTCCATTTGACGATGCATCCATAACTATTGACTGATTGTGTAAAATGCGTGTGCAATGGGCAGCGGGCGTAGTATTCGTGAGCCAGCCGTTTATTGCGACTTTAATGGTTGAACACACGAGTGTTGATGGAATCATTGCGAAACTTGCGGGGATTACAAGCACGCGACTACCAGCCACTTCAAAGCATTGAGCCACAGCTATTCACAGACTCATTTCCTTGCATAGATCATTAGCAGTGTTCTTTTTCGAGCGACGATAGGCACGACTGGGCCAGCATAAAACACAAAAACACGGATTGTGATCATCTGATGTGCATCATTTGCCAGTAACGTCAGTGAAACGTGTCTTTGGAATAAAACGGGGCATTGGCAAATCTTTTTACACACATCAGTTAGGGCCTGATTAGTGACAGGGTGACAAATGTCCACAAATTGGGTGCAAAACCCTATTGCTATTTGACACAATAGCACCAGTTAACAAGATTTATCAGTATTGTCGGTAAGGATAGACAGGAAAACATCTGTGGCAAGCTGTATCCGCATCTCTGTTGTATTCTTGTTTCATCACGCGACTGGTACATCCCTAGCTGTAATCATCTTTAACGACGGCTGACTTCTTCGAAACATACTACTTGACGTGTTCATTTATCTATGGACTGTAGCACGGTGCACGTCTGTAAAGTGCAGTAGAGTGTCCGGGAGCCAGTTGCGCACAGTTGCAACGATATGTCTCAAAGCCCTTCACATCGAATTGCTTGGAGAAGAATGTGTCGTCGCCACATCGGCTTCAACTTTGCGCACTAGCGTATACCGGTGGTCGTGTGTTCAATACGGGAGACGTGTGCTCGGCCAGCATACAACAATAAAGGAGACGTGCTCTCGGCCAACATATAACAAGACAGGAAACGCAACACAAAACAATACAGGATACGTGTGCGCGGAACATCTAACAAAACAGGACACGTAACACATAACAATACAGGAGACGTGTGCTCGGCCAACAAATAACAAAACAAGAAACGCAACACATGACAATACAGGAGGCGTGTATTCAGCTAACATATAACAATACAAGAGACACAATACATAACAATACAGGAGACGTGTGCTCGGCTAGCATTTAACGAGAACTTTTCCACATTACCACAAAGTATGGTCGACATCAGTAGTGTGGTTGGGCAGAATTTACTGTTTTTTACAGGCGATGTGTCTTCGGGAACGTTTTTTTTATGGACGACAGAAAATGGCCAAGAGTTATGCTGTATATCCCGATGTGCTTTAGCCATTTTCGCCCGTGGTGTGTTTTGTGCCCATCCGTACGGAATTCGCCGTATGTACACTTATGTGTCGCTTCCCGAGCGCATATTACTATAGCACACATTGCAGCTGGACAAGGGAAAGCTATTCCATCCAGTTTCATGTTAATGTCGCAACGTGTGGCTGCTGCCTATACCATAGCACAAAACAGGAATATGCAGCACTGGATTCCAGCAACTCGCCGCACTGTTACCACAATCTGGAGGCGACGAAGAATGGAAGTTTTCCTGCCGCATTTCGTAGCTTACGGAACCTGGCCTGTTCTTTGAAGGGAACCTAACGCCTTTTGAATTGAGAACCTCCGTTTTTATCAAACACCTGAAAGTTTTGGACTAAGAGCATCAGTCCTTTCGAAGCACCGATCTCGTCCCTTTGAAGCCGGAACGAAATGTACAACAAGCGCACCGCCGCCACAGCCGGATGAGTGACGTTGATTGGTGTCCCTGCAGAACGACTGGGTGTGCAATGATGCCTGGCGACCGTTCGTCGTGCACGCCGTCTTCTGGGTGGGCAACATCGTCGGCTCCTGGATCTGGGGCACCATCAGCGACAAGTGAGTCGCAGCGCCCTGGCGCCGGCGCGCTGTTGACGGCGGCGGTGTTGATGCCGGCGATTGGCGTGCTCAGCTGGCGGCCGGATCTGTGTTGTATCCCGGATGACGTCCGGAGGCCAGCGATGTTATCCCGTACACACGCCTCGCGCCGTCTGACGCCCCACGTCGCCCCCAGTCACGCCACCACGGGGAGACGTCTCCTCGGCATGCTGGTGGCACCCCCTTAACAGAGTGTTAGGAAGTGCGCCACGCCCATCCTTTGCCTACGATTGCTGGTATGGACTGCTCAACGAAAGGCGCTGTCCTGCCATTTGATTACCACCATTTGGTTGTTGAAGATCTTGCTGTCACTGCGCTCTCTATCATGCAAGTGATGCTGTATTCCGACCCCAATTGACAGTGTTCTCGGAACCCCAGTTCACCGCGTTTCCGGGGCTCCAGCTGATTGTGCGATCGGTGCTCGAACTGACTGCGATCCGGGCTCCATCTAGATGTGCTCCAGGGTTCCACCTGACTGTGCTCTCAGCTGCCTACTGAACTGTGCTATCGATGCTAAAGCTGATCGTGTTGTCGGTGCTCCAGCTAATTGTGGTCCCAGGACTCCAGATGACTGTGCTGTCGTTGCTCCAGCTGACTGTGGTCCCGGAGCTCCAGATGACTGTGCTGTCGGTGCTCCAGCTGATTGTGGTCCCGGGGCTCCAGCTGACTGTACTGGCTGTGCTCCGCCGCCAGGGTTGGCCGCCGTCCGGCTACGCTGGCCTCGTTCGTGGTGTACGCCGCCGGTGGCGCCCTCACCTTGGCCTGGCCCTCCAGCATGGCCGCCCTAGCGGCCGTCCGCTTTCTCGTTGGCACGGCGCACCACACCATCTCTCATCTGCCCTACATGCTAGGTGAGATGCCCACACCGTCTCCCATCTGCCCTGCATGCTGGTTGGAATGCCCACACCATCTCACATCTGCTATAATATTAAGCCCGTGCCAATCCTGGGGTGGGGGGCACCGATAATATAATGGTCATAGGGAGTGTTCCACATTGGTAGGGGGGAGGAGGGTAAACTGAAGTAGTCATATTGAAATTCATTCGGTGCAGATCACAGCCCTACCCTTCCAAAGACCTAAGCCCTCTAGTTTCTGAGGTACACGCCCGCGAAAATAGTGAAAGGCATATGGGGGAGAGTGCTTCAGTCATCTTGCTATTCATCGCATCATAATAACGTCATTCAAATCCTACTATTCCATAAGCCATGCGGCGATCAAGACTAAATATGATTGCGGAGGCGTTCATATCTGGCGTTCGTGAGCGCGATTACCAGATATAACAGCCATCAGTTGGTTTTTCATCAAGTTGTCTCAGAAACGATGGCGTGCTCAAACAATGACGTTTTGAGGAGCATCTTTACTTAACAGGGAATTGTGTTGCTTGGAACAGCTTTTTCTCTGAAAGGATACCAATAGCTGTAAGCGAGCTTATTTCATCATATTTAATGCCTGCTTCATTATGTTCAAATGTGAAGCGCTCCCTTCAAGCTGCGAGTCTTGAGAACCGGAGATACGAGGTTTCGTTCCCGCGGTGCCTGCGCCTTCTGCCAGGGTGAGGGGGCAAGCGTCGCCACATGGCCTCAGCAGCTGAGTGCATCGCAAATCCCAAATGACGACGACTACCACCCTTGGTGAGAGCCCCGCATCATCTCCTAACAAGTCCACATGCTGGATGAGGATCCCAAACCATCCCCAAACTCCCCACAAATGCTGTTCTGCGAGCCACCTGACTGTCGTGAGCCGTCAGCAACCAATGGCGCGCGTCCTCTTGGGCAGTGATCGAGTACTGCGGTGCGAGGGCCCGCGTCTACCCGCTGCTGGCGCTCATTGGCTCCTGGGGCGTGGGCGGCGCGCTACTGCCCTGGATCGCCTACCTGGTCTGGGACTGGCGCATCCCTGATGCTGCTCTCCAGCCTGCCGCTCCTGCTCACCCTGGCGTTTTACAAGTGAGCGGGGCGGAGGAGGGACGGTGGGGTGGGAGCAGCGCCATGCTCTGGCCGCTGAACAGCTGGTGACGGCTAATCGCCGCAGATAATCTGCAGCGATTTGTTGTCATGTGCGCATCGTGAATTCAACGTCTCAGCCAGAAACCATCCAGCGTCATCGTGTATCAGCCGTAATCTGGATTCGTCAACCGGACAACCGTCTGTTGCCTCGTAACCCGTCACTTGCACCCAGATTTGTCAGCTGGATACCCGTCCGTTACCTCGTCACCCGTTACCCTCGTCACCCGTTACCTCGTCACCCGTTACCTCGTCACCCGTTACCTCGTCACCCGTTACCTCGTCACCCGTTATCCCGTCACCCGTCACCTCACCTCCGTCTCCTCACCACCCGTCATTTCGTCACTCGTCACCTTGCCACCCGTCACTTCGCCACCCATCACCTTGTCACTCGTCACCTCGTCACCCGTCACCTCGTCGCCTCATCACCTCGTCGCCTGTCACCCATCATCCGTCACTTCGTCACTCGTTGCCCGCACCTGGATTCGTCTCCAGATACCTGATGAAGCTCTTGTATTGGTTTGCTCTGGGATCACCTTCCCGTTGTTGACGGGAGTCACTGTGCATGTTGAGAGTTTGCTTTACGAAATTATTCCTCGCAGCTACATCTCAGCGTCAAACCTTTTCCTCGCAGCTACATTCCGGAGTCATCCTCCTGGCTGATGGTTCGTGGTCGCGGAGAGGAGGCGGCCACCCTCTTGAGGAAGATGGCGGCAATCAATGGGCAGACGCTGGATGAGGAAGCGTTCGGCGAGGTGCTTATCGACATGACGGCCCGCGATCCCGACAAGGAGACACAGAGCATCCTGCTGGTGCGGAAGCACCCCCGCCTGATGAAGAACATGGTGCTGGTCATTCTGCTGTGGTGAGAACATTGTGGGCGTATTCTGTGGTGTGGTAGTATATTTTGCACGCGCTGCACGCCTTTTCTGTAAGTGTTGTTAGAGCCTGACAAAACAAATTTGTTAGAATTTCCATGCTCCGAATGGGATGGTTACATGATCCTCCCTCCCCTCTCGTCACTGTATCCCGTCATGACATCACTTTCTATGTGGTTTTCTAACTTAAAAGCATCCCATTAGTGATAAGTGAACTCTTCATATCAGGTGCTTGCTTCCGTACTTTCAAATGTGGATCATTCCTCTAAACGACTTCGACAGTCGGTTGTGTTTGTCATCGTCAACCACCGACTCAAGAACCCAGGCTGACCTCGACTGCCGCGTCGACAGGATGGTGTCGTGTCTGTGCTTCTACGGACACACGCAGAACACGGGCAACCTGGGCGGCTCTGTATTCAGCTCGTTCTCGCTCGGCGCCACTACCGAGCTGCTGGCTATGACCGTGCCGTTCATCATCAACGCACGGGGTCGCAAGTGGCCGATGGCCCTCTTCTTCGTCACGTCCGGCCTCTGCGGCCTGCTCTACGCCCTGCTCGGCGATGGTGAGAGCAGCCACGCCCCCACCGGCGGCGGGCGGGCGCGGGGAATAGCTTGTAGATGCCACTGCTGGCAGCCGTCACCACCATCGTTAGAATGGCTTGGTTCATAGGATAGGTTTGGCCCGTCAGGGCATTGGGATTACCCTCGAATTGTTAACTGTACTAAGGGGAAAGAACGACCCCTTACGCACCTGGATCAATATTTGTTTTCACCCTGGCATCTGTGCCGGGTTTTCTTGAGTCTGCTGTGCACGTGGTACATCACGTTATGTGCGAGAAAAAAATTGTCAGCAGTGGGTGAGAAGCACACTATGTCACAGTTAATCGCTTACATGGTCCTAGCCACTCAAACGCGGATGACGTGAGGTAGCGACAAAAGAGCCGGCGGCATGACAAACCTCCCGCATCAAAGCCGCGGCCGTCTGACCGTTGCCGGCGGCTGCAGCGCTGCCTGGCCCGGCGCGTCTGGCACTGGGCCTCACCGGCGGATGCTCATCATGGGCGCCTACAGCACCCCTGCCTGCAGTACGGCCCCGAGCTCTTCCCCACCGTCATCCGCGGCCAGAGCCTGGCACGTACGAGCTGCTCGGTGGCGTGGCCATCTTCATCAGCCCCTCCATCGTCTACCTGGTACGGGGCCGTGCAGAAGCACCTATGGACGGATCTCACCGGAAAATTGATATTTCGCATTCGGTGGACATGACATAGGATTTCGTTTTTAGCATTGGATTTATCAGAGTTGATAACCGAACATTGTTCCGCTAAGCTTTTTTTGTAGCTGTATCGGGCGAAGGATGCAGTTGCTCATGCCATCTCTCTTCGTTCACCCTCTGCAATTCTCGTGCAGCAACCAAAAACTTTTTGGAGTGGTGATGACTGGCTTGTTGATGAGCGTTTGATGGTATACAGTGAGTTCCAGTTGAATAACTTGGAGAATTGCGATTTTTTGACATAGTCCGAACAAAGTAATCCTGAAACCGCCCTCGATACCGAAGAATGCCAAAAATTTGCCAGAGCATGTCAAACTGGTGTAAAAGGCCAACAAGCCACATCACGTCGCTGGAATGGTTGTCTATGAGAGAGAAAGGCTAGAGGGTTTGAATGAACCCCCGGAATGTATGCATACATGGTTATCCAAAGTTGTCATCCTTGTCGAATGAACGTATCTTTCTAGTTTTAGCTAAGGTTCCAAAAGTGAACTGGGTGCCGATGACTTTGGTCGTGCGTTTTACAGCACCAGCAGACCCCGGGGCTGCCACTGCTGATCATCGGCGCCATGTCGCTGCTTGGCGGCGCCATCACCACCCTGCTGCCGGAGACGGCCGGCCTCAACCTGCCACAGACGCTGCTGGATGGAGACCTGCTGGGACGAGATCAGAGTGTGCTGCCCTGCCGACGCCGGCCACAGCGCCAGGAGGGTGGAGACAAGGCGTAGTGACGAACTGAGCTGTGCCGTGAGAGAGACCCGATGCCAAGACGGCGCGGATCGGTGGGTGGGCCGAGCGAGTGGGCAGCGATGGGCGCGAGGGAAAGCGCTGGAGTGCCTTGGATGCCTGAAGGGTGACAGCGAACTATGGATGGCAGTGAGCAGCGCTTGGCGATGGTATAAACACGTTCGGAAAATGGCGTGCGTCGGGCGAAAAATTGTGGATCTTGCTGGACAGTGGCGAGATGGCTCACAGAGCTACGGAGAGACGAGACAAACTGTGATGAAAATTGACTGATTTGATCCAAAAGCGAAGTGATGCAGACTGGACTGGCAGGAATGCGCAGGACGAACGTGCGACGACCAAATTTGGTGAATCGCTTGAAAAGAGTGTGGCGAAATGGTTGGAAGCACTCAATTTTAGTACTGATCACACATTGG